GAGCCATCCGAACAACGAGACGGCGAGGCACACGATCAATCAGAGCCTTGAACGGCAACGTATCTGGGTGCCCAATGCAACATGGCCAGGTTAGCACGCCGAATGACAAGCCCAAACACCAAGGAAAGAAAACGACGTGTAATCGTGTACATTTGACGTTGGGCTCAGCATCTTCCCTTTTGGGGCCGGCCTACGTCGCTGCGTCGCATCGTACACGACGTCGCCCAACATCCCATCTTTCTTTAGGATGGCGTCAGTGATTGAAATGCGATTGTCTGTTTTCCATGGACAATCGTGTTGCGCACCGGGCGTTTCTTCATACCCCACGTATGAATGAAATGGTTAAACTCCCTCGACAACTCCAGCCTCTCACAACCGGCGATACTAGATGTCAAAGGGTCTGGTTCGAGTAAGCTTTTTCTCCAACCTTGAGATGGATCACCAGGGGAATCGTGCGGAGCAACCGAGGGTCTCTGGCCGTTGGAGGAGCGCCACATGTCAGCGACTTCGGAAACACACAAGCGCCTTCTCCTGACCTGCTTGAAACGAAAGGATGTCAGCAGATTGGGAAACTCACGACACAAAGGGATAGTACCTAAGCGAATCGACATCAAAAATGCAGTCGTAATTAGGAAGGTACACCGGACTTCTCAGGACACGTGCGCATGCGCAGAACCCGGTCCTATGACGGCATCCTCCTCCAACGCCAGGAGGAACCGAGTCCAGGAGGAGACGAGTTGGAGAAGTTGAGAGTTGCAAGAGTGCCATGGCTCTTGCAGCAAGCGGTCCAGCAAGCGGTCGCAGACTCCCAGGTGCGGTTCCATGCAACATTTCGAACGCCTCCCGGATGCAACGCTGTCCGGATTCACGATGCCGCATAGCCGACGCAACTGTGCCAAGCCGGCTCAGCAAGCCAGGAAATCCCCGCTTGTGGACCATTGGAACATCAGGAACCGTTGGAGTTCGTCTCGTGTCGTGTGTCTCGCAAGACCTCCTTCTTCATTCAGCCCTAGAAGCGGGTGAATAACCGTCCATGAATCCATGATTAGCAACGCGCGCTATCTTTCTGGACGAACCCCCCCCCCCCCCTTTTTTTTTGGAGAAACCATGTACGGGCTGAGGGGAATTGCAGACATCCGCTTGACTGCGGGAGCCTGTTTGTCGTCGATTACGCTGCCTCTTTCGAGATGAAGGGATAGTTTGGTCCTCTCATGGGAATGGCGCGGGTGACGTGCGCTGACTAGAGCTTCGACAGACAGCCTGCGCGCAGAGTCGGGACTGATTTTCAATGAAGTGATTTGTTTATGGCGTGAAAGCCCATCTAGCCACTGACGAGCCACGCTTCCGTCCCGTTTTCTGTATATTTCCCTTGTGCTGTCCAGTGTCAACCACGAATGAGTGACGATATAATCCCACATTAGTTTTCCATTGGCCTACTCGCGCCTCTGTCAAAAAGTAGTCTCGGTTATTGGCTTGAACGTGAATCTCAAAACTGAAAACTGTCTCTTCCAGACGAGCGGTTGCATAGATGGCCAGAGCTGCATGTCCAGATACGTGTGGGAAAATCCGGATCGGCATTCGAGACGAGAACGCACAAGATTGCTGGAAGATCTTGAACGCTGTACAGTAAGGCTGCATCGGCATGCAAAACCTGGAAGCCGAAAAGAAACTACACAACCCAGACTGTCATGGCATCCGGAAACACCAGGTCGGCACCTTATTGATAGAGGTGAGTCTACATGGGAAGCACACGACACTCGCATAGATTTGAGTCGACATAACCATTCCTTCCAAGAGATGCTGAAATCTACCAGATACTAAAAAGCCTGAATATACCAGGTGTATCTCTAGGGACGTTCAACCGTGGACCGTCGTCGCCGGCACATGTTGATGAAAACACGTCAGGCCCGAGGAATATTTAGCCATGGTCCCAACGCAAACAGCGAACCAGACGCTGTCACTATTCCACGCAAGCCAACCAGATGCAAAAGCCAACGGCTCCAGGACCTGAAAACGAAATGTTCACGTCGCACTCGTGGGTATAAAAGCCATTGAAGCGCTATGTGACCAGCCAAAAATGATTGCAAAGAGACACAACCTCCCGGCCCCCCTACAAGTCTGCAGATGTTGAAATGGCATTGATAGCAGCAGAATCACACCTCGAACCAATAGAGTTGTCTCTGTCCCGTCAATAGCTCTAAATCTTCCGCGGCTCCGTCCTGTCCACCACTTACACGCCTGCCTGCCGGCGCACAGGGGCCTACATCGTCCTTCCTCACGACGCCGGCCAACTCTGCAAAGTACAGTGAATACCATCACCCTGACGTCCTCCCTCGTTGTCACGGTGAGAATCAGGAGGCAGGGATAGGCACCGATCCTGCTGCAGCCGTCATTCTTGCAGCACCGTCCTTTGGAGCGATGCCATTGCATCCATGCCACCTTTTACATTTGCTGGCCGTTTATACGAGCACATGACACTAAGCAGTAGCCTACTCTCACTATTTCCGATTAAAAAAAATTCAAGTCAAGTCAAGCGATATTATTGCCATCAACATGAAACTACATCATGCCCACCCGATCGAAATGAACTAACATCCTTCCCCAATACCGCTCTACCCCAATCTGCCTTGGCCACGAATCTTGCACCAATGCAATAATGACAACCAGAGATTGCACAAGGCTGCAGGCCAACAGGGCCAAAAACAAAACAAAAAGGAAAGAAATGACTCATCAACTCTGTCCCAAATGATTCCTCCAAGTCAAAAGAACAATGGCGTTCATCGTGTACCAAACGCTCATCAAAAATAGAAAACCCCAAAACCTCGTCCTTCGTCCTTAGTCCTTGCAAAACCACAAGCACACAACTGGTTTTTCACGTGGATTCCCAGTCCTTGTGGCATCCCAACCAATTTCCTTGATCGACTTCTTCACAAGATCCTTGTTTCCGCCATTTACCTCCAGACCTTTGTACCATTTTCCACCACCAGCGCTCTGGATCTCAAACACCTTGTTCTTCTTCGGCACGGGGTTAGTACAGCCAAATCCTTTCAGCAACTCCTCGAGGGTCGTGTTGCAAGGGATGTGGACGGCTTTGAAGGGAAGCTGGGCCGTCGCGGGCAGCTGCCAGGGGGGAATGTTGGATCGAAAAACATGAGCCTTTGTGTGCTCGGCGGCAAAGAACAGGTTATAGCCGGGCTCGCAACCCACGCCTCCTGTTGAGTTAGTCATTTGCGCGGCGGGCATCGTGGGATCGATCGCAGGCCAAGGCTGCGGCTGGCGTGGGAGGATATTTCCTGTTCCGTTGGGCTGGTATGCAAAGGTCTGTTGAGTGTAATACCCGCCTGCTGGGCCGGCTTGGGGCCCATAGCTAGCAGGGTACACTCCCGGATTTGCTAACGGGGGCATAGTGTAAGAGAATCCTGCCCACGTATTGTAGTGAGGTACTGTACCAAAATTATATCCCGGCCCGCCAGAATGAAAGATATAGGGCTGGCCTTGGCTGGGAAGAGGGGCCCCATAAGGAGCGTGGTTCGGACGTGTGCCGCTTGGGTCACGGCCGGTGATGGGATTCCAACCTCCAGACATTTCGTACACGCTGTCGTCAGGTGTGGTCTAAGGGGAGGCGTACGATGATGGGATATTCGAGGTATTCAGAACAGAGGTTGCCAGGTATGGACCCAACGACCTGAGCCAACGTCGAAGCTTGCCCGCCAGTGACCGGGAACTGGCCCTTGAGAAACCGGATCCCAAGCCGGCGGAGCAATATACGTGGGAACAGGAGCTGCCGGTGTGGGTAGAAGAAATGGATGAGGGTAGGCTGTGTGCGAGACTGGCAAGTCAACGTTCAGATTCTCTTCTGCTGCCGAACCGGCCACTATAAATCGTCAGCAAAATGGGTCAATCGTGTATGGTTCGAGATGAGGCAGACACAGATGAAAGTAACGCAAGGCCACCACCAGGAAGAGCGAGCAAACTGGTGACATTGCGGCATCATTTCGGTGTTACTTACCAGAGTCTGATTCTTCTTCCTCGCCGTCGTAACAAGAATCTGTAGACTCGCTGACGGAATCACCAGTAGAATCACCGCCGTCCGAGTCCGACTCGTTGTCAATTCGGCTGATCAGTATTTCTGTGCTCCAGATAGGTCGACCGTGACGATCGTAAAAAGCACCGACTATGATCCACGCACAGGTGAAAGTCTCGTCGCAAGTCGCAAAATATTGTGTGACAACGAGCTTGGCTGCAGGAAACGGAAGGAAATGCTCGTCGACTTCAATGGTCCTATGCTGGACACGAGGCGAAGCAGGCATCAGGTTAAAGTAGTTTGCACACGAAAACGAGACCGATATTGGAAGCAAGTCTCCGTTCAAAAGTGACAGATACAAGGGATGGTAGAGAGGAGAGAGAACGCAATTCGATGTACACAGGTTACTCGGCCCCTTTATCGTGCGTCAGAGTCGAGAGTACGGACAAGAGATCTGATAGTCAGACGAGGGCTGGTCAAGACAATTGATTCAGAGTCAGGTTTCTGACGATCAAGTCGTGCGAGTTGTTAATCAGCCATGGAAATACGTCTTCCGGAAGGCATCCAATCACCCGACTGTCATCTGTGAGTAGATCAGATGGCTCATCCAACTGGATTTTCCACCAGACGTGTCTTTATGCGCCTCAGCAACGTCCCACGCAAACAAACCTCTGTCATTGCAGCAGATCGTACTGCCAGCTAAGCAAAGATTCAGAGTCGCCAGCCAGGAATGTACTAGTGTGCTTGTGAGATACAATCACTTCGTCTCACAGAGATAGGGGATTGGCCAGCAAATCATTTCAGCAGACCGCACTCGCACCATTGAGTTTGCTGGGCATTGTGCCAGACTTTTCTGCGTAGGCGTGTGGAGCGGTATGGTATTAATATTATCCTTTGCTATTCGTCGCAAGTCTGGGTCAGAACATTCTTCCCCGGCGCATGTACGTTCTTGCCCAGCAGGAGAGAGAAATCCCCGTTAATCATCGTCGCTATCCGCAGTGACGACGCGCACTGCCCCGGCTTTCTTGTGCCTGGTAGCTTCGATTTCTTTCTTCAGCTGCTGCCGCCTCTCGACCTCAGTCACCAGTCCTTTGAGATATACCTCGGATTGCACGGTGGCGCTGTATGCAGCAGGAGTCCAGTTCCAAATGTTCCGTCGTTCTACGTCGGCTCCGGCTGCGAGTAGAGTTCGCAGTCCGAGTAAATTCCCATTGCTGCTCGCAAAATGTAAAGCTGTATTGCCTTCCAAATCGGCCCGTTGGACCGCTTCACGTGGGCCGCCCGGCACATAAGTCAAAAGGATCTGGAGCGCAGTATCATGGCCACCCATGCTGGCCTCCATAATGGCGTCACGGCCTCTGACATCTCGTCGCAAGATGCAGCTTCTGTCATATTCGCAAAGTAAATGCACAACTTCCGAGTGTCCAGCGGAGGCAGCCAGCATCAAAGCTGTTTGATGATTGTCGTTCAGGGCAGGGCAGGGGTCCTCGTGGCCGGCTTTCAATAGAGCCTCACATATGTCCTTGTGGCCGAGAGATGCTGCTAGATGTAGGTTCGAGTTGGATAGCCCGGGTAGCGATGAATCGGGGTTGTGGAGGAGAGGTGGATGAGACTTGAGGATTCGTATGGCAAGGAGGCTGTCTCCCACGTGAATGGCCCGTCGCAGACGAATGGCCGGGTCGATCCTGGAATGGAAACTCAGGGTTAGCCACGGGATTCATGCATGGTATTGAGAAAAGCAGCTCACATGGCGGGTAGTGTCTCATGACGCGAAACGGGCTCAAGGGTCTGGGGAAGATGGGAGTATTGAGCAGAAGACAGTGTGAACTTGTGAAGATTATGGCAGCTGCAGCCGACGAGCAACAGACACTCAGATCCACGTGGAGTCACGGACCTTCGCCCCGCGCGTCGACAGGGAGGCCCTGTTTCAGATGTTAAGTGTCAATTTGCTCCCTACAACGACGCAATTCGCAACACAGGCCTTGAGAATATAATGCAGGGATCCAAAAGCCATCAATTTGGTGCCCTTTACTTTGATACCCCGATGAATTGTCACTATTTTTTGCGAGTGCGGTGTCAAGTTACACTCCAGATCGCGTTGGACTCACCAGCCAGCAGCTAGAGACGTCAAAAGAGCAGGCGCTATCAACTCTCACGGCCATCACATAATCTAGAGCTGCGCATAAAAAACTCCACGTACCCGAAACATGCTGTCAGGCTGGTAAGATAATCTTCTCATCTAACTCTATTGCCTCATCTAACTCTATTGCCTCATCTAACTCTATTGAACTAAAAAAAAAAGGTTTGTACTCAATCACTGTATACTATGTACATAAACTAATCATGACATCATCAGATCGCTCATGGCCATCACTTCGTCCAAAGTCCAAGAAACAAGGCCAATCGGCTCCATACCCGCCCAAAAGTCATCTATGCAAAAAGTTCATTGATGTCCCGCTTAGCATTACGCTTGATACCACACTTGTTCAGACACGTGTCAATCCCCAAGGCAACATTGGCAGGAATCATGCCCCGGAAAGACTCAATGTCTGCACCATTCAACGACTGCACACCACCGAGTGTCGAGCTCACAATGTCAGGCCGCAGGCTGAAAAAGTTCTGGGCAATAGTCTGAACACCAGGATCGGCGTTGTTGAACCCAGCAACAAACACGGTATCCGTGCAGTCGGGGTTGAACTCAACATGGATAGCACCCTGGGGAAACACAGCCATCTGGAACTTGGTCAATGTGTTTGAGACGGGCGTGGCGCCGTTTTCCTCGACGAAATTGGTGACGAGGCGGCCCTGAGCAACAAAGTTGAGCTCAGTGGCGCGATTGTGAACGTGTGGAGTGTTCATGCCGCAGGGCCCGAGGAAACCAACAGTCATGGCGGCACCGTTTCCAACGAGAGCAGGGAAAGTCTTGGATATGGCAGAGACGGTAGAGCCGCCTTTGCCCTTGGCTTCAGAACCAGCTACCTTGTCGTCAACGTTGAAGTCGAAGACAAAATCGCCGGGCTGGTCAAGGAGCTTGAGCCGGTCAGCCTGCGTTGGGGCAGTCATGAGCTTGGTGATAAGGTCGGCGTTGTCAGCGCGAGTGTTGACCTTGACGACGGGAGGGAGGACGGCATTGATGTCGGCACTAGAATCTCCTGCTCGCTTGGAGGGAGCAGCTGTGGTGACACCAGCCAAGAGGATGAGAGAAGAGAGGGCAGTCAGATGCATCTTTGGATAGATAGATGAGTGTGTAAGTGTTGTGCTGGGAGGAATTGGAATGCTTTGAAGAGGGTTGAGGCTCAGACGATAATGTAGATGGATTCAGTTCGTTCGATTCATGGGAAGAGCTACGGTCTTATATCATGCTGCTCGTCACAATGATTCTACAGACTTGCACGGCCTACTCCATTTTGCAAGGACCCAACACAGCAAGGACATCATCCATCAGAATAACTTGTATATCCGGCGCAGCTATTCCCATGTCCAGCAATGCAACAATGCAACAATTCAACAATGCCTGGACCCATTTCCAAAAACAGAAAATCTGCCCTGCAAAACATCTCTACAGCTCCAATTGGTTGGCTGGATTTGTTTCCTGACTGGAGTGGGTTGCTTATCCATGTGGCTCAGGTCGGCTGCGTCTAAGATCAGCATGGCTGAGGGTTGACGGGAGGAGAAATAGCCGCGCTCTTAGCCGTCTTTTGTTATCAGCTCCATGTCATCCTTCATCCTGTCATCCTGTCATCCATGTCCCGGATCGCCGGGAAGGAATTTTGTTCATGTTTACACGTCCATGCAGCTGGGGCTGACGAGTCACGACGGTGTTCTAGGTTTCCATTGTGCTGGCACAAAGGGGCTTCGCAATGTCCACACGGCAACGGGGCGTGAGAAATCGCCCAAATTTGGTATCGCTGTAGGGATATTCATTTCATTCATACCTGCTAGCCGCAATACAATGCTCAATGTTTGAAGCCGACAAGAATCGAACACAACTTAATTTCCAGAAACATGGGCGGGTGTCGATCTCCCCTCATGATCATCAGAGCTTGCTGTCCGTCTTGGCGAGTCGGTTGGCAGCATTCGGCGCTCTCCGGCTGAAACATGCATCTCAATAAGCATTGATATGGACCTTGATTCAGACAATGATTACCTTTGCATGTTTGCATGAGATGCATTCGGATAGTTGTTTCCCGTATCAAGGATTCATGGTTGGCAGCACAGCCTCAAAACGGCACCAGAAAATAGAACGGAAACACAGTATCCGGTTGGTGGATCTGCAAAACGTGGACTGCTCTCCTCTCAAGGTGGAGTGGATCCTCTCCGCCAAAATTTCAAGATCTGTCAACAGAAGCACTTTGATCAAACGCCAGATGTCGAAAACACGTTCCCCCCACGGCCCGAAGCGATACAAAAGTTATCAGCATAGGGTACGTCGATGTGTATTGCCTATTTCCCTTCAGCGCGAACAGCGAGATGCGCGTTTCGAGGCACGATATGATGGTGACCAAGCGCCTGTATCCGAAATTTACGCCTTGAAGCATTTGCGAACGCCATTCAACGTCCATCGGACTGAACAAAACTGCCGCTGGCAGCATCAGCGAATCTTGAATCCAGGCCAATCCCGGCGCATTGAGAAATGGCAGACATCCACAAATGGCCCCTTTCATTTTGAAGGTGCACCCAGTCCATTTATCCAAGTTGGCAGGGTCAGAGATACGCAGCATCAGTCAGCCTATTATTATTTTTTAACCCGCAAGAACCCAAACGACCGGACAAGTCGTGGACAGCGACATTCCTCGGACAAGAAAGAACATCGTGACATTGGGTTCTTCTTCACATAGTCCATCTTTTGACTGCGGGCAGCATTATCCATCTTCCCAGATTTAACACACCTCCGGCTTCTCGAACAGCGCCGGTCGGCGTCATGGTTCTGCGAATCCATCTGTGAATTCCTTGGAAGGACACCGCATCTATTGAGCACGGGAATCCTATGTTCCTCAAATCGCTGAGCATGGTCTACATAATAGATCTCAGATCAGCCCTACAACGGAGCGAGAGTCGATGCTACGAGATCTCTCTGATGCCCAGTCCGGATCGCTTTACGCCCCTTCAACCCTGGACGATATAGACGTAGCCTCCAGTGACGGTGATAATGACTTTGGGCTGGAAACCCCGCCGACAACACCAAAGCTAAGCGGTCTCGACAGCTCGCCAGAAGTTTAAGGTGCCTAAAGAGACAAGCAACTCCACGTCAGACCGCTTCGCGAAATTTCTCAGGCCGGGTCCCGCGAACATAGACGCTCCCCTTCGCTGCCGTGACACTTACAGCACCCCATGCATGCCCCCCAGCTCTAAATGCGTGATTTCCAGTAAATTATCCGACACGATAGCTTGTTCATAGCCAAAAGAATAGAAATCCCTCGCAAGGAGCGAAGGTGCACATCAAGGTCAATCATCCAACGCAGAACGTGAATATACGACTATTAGAAAGCCAGAAATAGAGTCTACTAGTCCCTCATTCTACTACTTGTTCACCTAATCAAAACTTCCGCTTTACATAGCTCTCTTTGTAGCCGGCGAACAACCAGTCTTTCAGACGGTGCCAGCCCTTAATGCGACTATAAGCGTGGTCCATGAATTCTTCGACATCGAACTCCTCTGCCCAGGGAGTCGGTTCTTGACCCTGAAGTAAACGTATTGCATTCATCGTCCAGGTAATACAATTCTCACTACTGCCTTCGACTGGTGCCGGAACCTGACGCAGAAGAGCCTCGATCTCGTGGTAACCCTTGCCGGCCGGGAGCTTGCCAATCATTATCCGCCCGATCAAACGCCGGCTAGATTGGGCATCAGAGTTGCGCGGCTCCATTTTCCAGCCTCCAGGAATTACGCCCTCTGCGCTGTTCATCGGCGGATGCTCTTCCACGTGATACAGGCGTCCCGCTCCTGGGGTGTTCTTTGGCTCTACCCAAATACCCCAATGATACATGGCGTGGCCATAAGTTGTCTCCAGGGAAGGGTCGTCAGAGATGCCATCGCGTCTGAAGCCTGCAACCGAAACCCGATACTTGCCGCCCGGCATGACGAAGCGTCGGCTTATATATAGGTTAGGTATTTGAATTGCATACTAAAAGGGATATAGGACACACCGGAACTCACTTGGAGAGGAAATGATCAAAGATAACGGGGATGTTTCAGAATTTGAAGGCGTAAGGCTGCGAGCCACAGCTCAGGACGTGACCGGTGAAAACGAGACTTCAACCACTTGTATCTTTTAAATACCTGTGTGACAGGCAATAATGAGGCAAAATATTGGGCAGTGACTGGTTACACTTTTAAGAAACTTAACTCAGTAGGCCTGAGTGGCGTTTTATATACCTATGGACTCTCTCAGAAAGATTCTGCGTCCCAACCTTTTGGCCGGCAGCACTTGACTTCTCAGAGACCCAAGGCAGCGTGCTTATACACAACAAGCCTATTATTGGCTATAACGTCTCCTTGAGGTTACGTAACGCTACCCAAGGCGCTTCACGAAACGTGAACGGTAAGTATACCAACCCCAGGCCTATTCTAGGGGCGGTATCATGCACCTTTTCAAGTACTATCAGGCCTTTTTTAGAAATATAATCGAACTTGCCGCCCTGCCAATCTATCGCATCCCCTCCCACCAACCCCTCGTCCTGGGGTGCTTAATTGATAATTGTGCTAGTGTCGTCTGTAAACCCGACATGGAGCGGCTTGGCAAAAAGGGGCTTAGGCTAGCTATCTCCTGGCCACATGCACCAGATGTCTGCAGGAACAAGGTACCGGGCTTCGACGTTACACTGCTATGCCAGGGTCGGCGCCTAACAAAATAGTGGGGCGCGGGCGACTAGGTGTTGCCTTGGAGCTAGGGCGATAAATTGTCAAGTACTCCAGTCATATTTGTTCTAGAAATGCTTTGCACACACGCTTGTTGGTTGAGCTCTACGTTTTCATGTTTTCCTCTCTAATCCAGCAGCTGGCGCAAAAAAAGAAAAAACATGGCGCCCTCATCCTCATCAAGAAATACCATCGCTCCCCGGCGCGTGGTGATGCGATCAGACAAGTTGCCCGTATCCCTTCGATTGCGCATCTGGGCCAGCCAGTACCTCTGGCCTGGCAGAAATCGAGGAGGGATGGGGAATGTTGTCCGCCTACCATTCAAAAAGGTCATTAAGCTTAATGCCTCCCGAAACGAGGTAGAAGCAATGGAGTATGTTCGCACCAATACGTCGGTGCCTATGCCGAAGGTGTACAAGGTATACGAGCGGCCTGATGGCGCTTTCAACATTCTCATGGAACAACTTCCAGGCAATGGTACCGACTACGCGAGCATGAGCCCAGAGCAAGTCCGGGCATTTGGCGATGAGCTTGCTGGTTATCTTAATCAATTACGGAGCCTCAAACCACCTGAGGAGGGCTTCATCGGGTCGATAGATGGAAAATCACTGATGGACCATCGGATTGGCAATCTTCACTTCGGGCCCTTCCACAATGTGGACGACTTTCATTCATATCTGCGCCTTGGTGGGCGTCTTGACGAATGGATGTACGACCCAGTGGTCAAGACAATTCATGGAAAGTCAAACGCATACCGCGTCAAGTTCACTCATGCTGATCTCAACCCGACCAACATCCAATACCACAATGGGAGGATCAGGGGCATCATCGACTGGGAAACTGCAGGCTGGTACCCTGAGTACTGGGAATACACCAAGATGTGGTTCGCCTATCGTCCCCCGTTTGAACCCTTCTTCAAGGCCGTCGAGGGCAACCCAAACATCGATAAGTATCCCGAGGAGCTCAAAGCCGAGCGGGATATATGGCGACGCCTTAGCCCATGGGCCTATGATAGCTTCTACGAACAGCCAAAAAACGTTGCCGCATTCTATGAAGTTATAAATGCCGGGAAAAGTCAGAACGGAGATGACGCAACTGGTGATAGTGCGAGGTGATCCTGTGTTCGGACTAGCTCCCGGGCTACTGGCGAAACGACCTGATAACCGATTGCTTTCATATCCTAAACAGACATCAGATTCAGTGACACAAGTAGCGAGAGCCATGGATCTCTCTATTCTCGGGGTGCCGATGACTTCCATGGCATGCAAGAGCCAGGCAGGTTAGTTACTCCGGGTTGAATTGGGCTACAGATACCCGAGCAAGGACGAAACCAGCGGGTGCACGGAATGATGCAGCCCAACTCGCCACTCACGAGGTGAGACAACCCTGCGGCTTCCAGCCGGCAAGCCATGTACTTTACACTTCATCTTCGCCTCTTCACCCAACTCAAACTTACGAGCTTAGACAAGGACACTGTTCAGTGACTGAATTCTCTCGATACCAGTTCTCTAGCGGGTCGCCTAGACACTCCCCGACGGTTATTGCCAAGCCATCCAGGCGTCAGCACATTGCTCGTGCATATATTATGGGACATGCTACACCGGGGAACATTTACATGCATTTCCTTCCGCTTTGCTGCAACAAAGGGATTGCATTGGGTACAAGCTGGTTAATTGTCGTGTTATGTACATGGTGCATTAAGATGTTAGATCCCGTGCTGAATACTGTCATATACTTTCAAACGTCATCACATACCCCGAACCGGTGTATATGTAAAATTACTCTCGGCATGTTCTTATCGAAGTGAGGAAGTAGCCGCCGGGATGGCGGCATGTACATTGCAAATTCGTCGACAACTACATGGACATATCCTACAACCTCTCCGCCTCTAATTCACTTGTAATTAGATATCGGCATTCGCCGCGATAGCGTTGCTACAAAACTAATAGAGATACACTCCCATCTTCTTCAGCTGTCTCGCTATTGCAATTCGCTGATATTCGCTGTTTGAGCACTCGCAGCATCGCGAGGATCAAAGTAAATATACAACACAACTCAAAAGCCCCAAAATAATCAGCAGGCTGGCTCAGGGGAAAACTAAAGCCTGTTATATCGACACCGTCTGCAAGCCAAAGTCCGACACCGGCGGCATTGGAAAATGTGCGTAGGCAAAATGTTATTGCACGCGTCGCAAGTGTATTGGCCATGAAGAGTGGTCCAGCGTCGATGCTCGCACGCATGATTTTGTCGTAAATCTTGACGGACTTCGTCAACCAAACGATTGAATATTTGAGGAACATTGTCAGCAAGACGGTGTTGTCTGTTGACAATGACAATATCTGCTGCTCTCGCGTATAAATTCGTCTCATCCCACTGAGGGCAATTGCATGCCTTCCATCTGACACCGCAAACATAGCAGAACTCAGCTTTGCAATGACATGCTTTTACGCATTAGCTTCCGTACTGACGAGGAAATTGTGCCTGAAGAAACTTACTGATGTGATTGCATCCCTGGTAAAGTTCCACCATCCTGCCACACGAAAAGCATCTCTGCCATCCCTTCTCCTGGGCCAAATGGATAACTTCTTGCGTAGCAGTATCATCCAGACAATCTTCCAATTCATGACCAGGACCTTTACAGATAGTACACGTCTGCTTGCCGCACTTTCCACAAGTGACAACTTGTTCAGGTAAAATGTCAGATAAAAGGTCCGGTGGGATAAATGCAGAGCAAGTCACATCGTGACAATAAGTTCGGTCAGGGGTACCAAACTCGACCTTCTTCTCGTTGAATGTCCTGATTTGGCGGCTGGTGAGAAACGGCTCCATGATGTCTAGCGGGATCTCCGTTTTGCAACAGCGCGGCGGGAAGAGCGATTCGTCTACCACTGCCAGCTCTAACAGATTCACCATACATTGTCCGCAATAGTCATGCCCGCACGGGCACTTGAACACGGACCCGGGTTCTTGCAGTCCACAACTGACGCATTCGGGGAGAGGTTCTCTCTCGGTTTCAACTCGAGGATGTGTTAACATCATGTCTGACTAAAGACTATTCAGGGGGTAATTGTAGGTTTCTTAGGATACGTGTTACCTTACGGACAAATGTCTTTATGAGGAGATAAGACAATAGGATTGAGCGGGCTGCAAGTTGCAAGGAAAAACTTGTAGGAGTTGTGCAAGTTTTAAGGAAGTGTCGAGCCTCCCGAGGCAATCCAGCAACTGATATTCACAGGCGTTTCCAGCAAGTGAGCCCGGAGAAGGAGCAACCCGAATTTTACTCAACGCACCAACACCAACCCCAAGCACCATTCGATCGTTGGACTTGGCTTGTCCACGCGCACAAAAACACTACTCCTCCGACGGGCGACAATGGAGTTTCACTCTCAAGCTATATTTTCACTATCCACGAGCTCATCGTGTGGGTATCAGTTACAAGTCATCCGCCCTCTTCGCCTTTCTCACCACATTCTTGTGCCTCTTGTCATGATACTTCACATCATCCGGGTACAGCGGGTTCCAAACAATATTACACACCTTGCACTCTGCAAACGCCGCCTTGGAGGAGATATTCAGTGTTGTTTGCACTGTCGGTGAACGCCCCGATCTTGTCCCAAGACCAGGCTTGATGTCCGATGAAGTGCTGTCCCTCCGTCCCTGACTCAATACACTGCCCTCTCTAGCATACAATGTTTTCCTTTTCCCATCCGGCGACGAGGCATTGCTATCTGTTTCGTCTCTGCCCGAGAGGCTCATAGCGTCTTCGGATTCGTCTGATGGCAGTGAAGTCGCTCTGATTCTTAGCAGTCGAGCCTTCCTTCGCCTTCGCACGACTCGCGAAAGCGCCGGCTCTGAGTTTCTATGCACGTCTTCCTTCTTTTCTATATGTTCTAGCTTCTTCATGTCGATCGATACAGGCTTAAAATATTGTAAGATGGACGATCGTGTTGCTGCTTCGGCGCTAGGTAGTGGCGGCGCCTCTTTTTCGAACTTCAAAGTTGAATCTGACTGCTCTTTCTTGGACGACGGATTTTGCATCGCTGGTAATTTCCTCTCCATGTTGATATGGGCTTGAGGCTCCATTCGGACCCTTTTTGCAGGTGGTTCACCTCGTGGTTCTGGCGTTGAAGCAGCCTTCCGCCCATAGGTTCGGAGCGGCTTGTCGCGCTTCCTTGACAAATAATGTGACATCCCCGGCTTCGTTCTGCAAAAAATTCATGAGAAACTGCCCCAGGGGTCCATGAAAGACAAGGATTACTTACATGGCATACTCTGGTGAAGAATTGATCATCATGTTGTGGCCAGTGGTGTCCAGCGCCAAGCTATGCGTGCAAAAAAGAAATCGCGTGAAACCATGAAAGGGCTGGCTTGTAAAAGTATATTGCCTCAGGGAATAACGGCTGGTTTAGCATTTCATTTGAGAGAGATGATATCAAAAGATGATCGCGAAGAGAGTGTCAGGTCGTGAAGGGTGGTTGAATGACTGGCCCCACGCAACTTCTGGGAGACGCGACACGCGACGCGATGGCGACACAGAACCACTATACGCGATGTCACATGCAGGGGCTGGGAACGCGCAGCCACTGGACAGGCAAAAACTGCAGCTTGTTCAACTTCGTCTACGGAGTACGGAGTAGTAGTATAGGACTTCTGTTCAGCGGTACCACTCGGCCGAAATTCAGTAGCCAGTTGGCAAAGTATACAGACACTAAGCTTGAAGTGGTTGGTTAGCCCTCTATATTATATTTGAATTCTCGCTGCTTTAATTTGAAACCGTCGTAATCCTCTTCCTCACTGTGCCATTCGTGTCATCCTCCTTTTGCCGTAGAAACACCGTGTTGTCATTCTTATTATCGCCCTGGTCGTGCTCACCCACCACCCACGTATTAACAACTTGCTTGATTTCCTCGGCAGCCTTCTGCTTGTGCTTCGCCTGATCCATCCTCCACATGTAGCTCGAGTAGACTGCGACCTCCGCGACAGCCACGACTATACTTCCGCCCATGGTGAGAAATATTCTAGCTGGCAAGCTCCACCACCGTGATATCACCCACAGCGTCCCAGCTACTCCCAGGATACTGACGAGAAAGTTAATGATAAGCATGACTTGGCGATGGACATCACTAAGCGTTACATCATCATCGCCTAGATCCGAAGCGTTCATTGGGCGATTCACTTGGGAGAAAGCTTGTGCGGATGTCGGGAATCGATCGTTGAACGTTTCGATTTTCGGAGGGGGGTTCACCATGCGCTCGTAGGCTCGCTGTGCTTCCTCGTGTCGTAGTCGGGCCATAAGAGCTTTGAATTCTTCGGTCTATATCAACTCAGTACATTAGCGACTCACGGAAATGCATGCGGGCTGGGTGGGAGACCAACCGGCTCTGGTTTCGGCGGTGGTGGTGGAACGTAAACCTGCGAGCCACGGAGCAGTTCCTCCAAGCTATAGCTCGCATTGTGGTTGGCTCGAAGCTTCTTCCAGATGTCGACAATTTGTTGGTGAGAGATGGGTTTCCCAACTGAAGGCGGATTCAGGGACGGTTCCCTGTCTGTTTGTTGATGCCCATCGTGGGCGGCATCGCCAGTGGTACCTTGCTGCATGTCTTCGGCAGACAGCATTCCATCCAGTTGCGCCAGTCCATCCACAATGGACGCCGTCATTGTAAGAAGCACCATCTTGACCGCTCCAGTGTATGAGGTGACATGGAGCTTTGGTTCGCAATAACGGGCTGTTAGGAGCACGAGAAGAAAGCTCTCGGCGATGTGCGTGAGCTGCGTTATGCCGCGACAGTGGCTTGAGATGTGACGTCGCATGAACCAGTGCCATTGGATTGACGCCACATGTGCAATCCAGTGGACATGGGTCAGTGCTTAAGCTACCAGCCAGCACTGGTAGAGCTGCCTGTGCCTGGCAGCAGCTCAGGCCGCCAACATGCCTGGCCGTACTACCGCTATTTGCAGTACCGAAGAGCCCTGGGCGTGCTCAAGGCTCATCACTGTCCGGCGGATTACAGACGACCAGACAGTTCGCTGAATCAGTTCAATGTTCGCTTGAGCATTCAATGTTCGGATCCAGCTTTTGCCAAAGAGCGACCAATGGGAGCCTCCCAGACATTAGTGACAGTAGAGGCTCCGAGGCTCTTGGGCAGTCTCGGGTGGGTTCCGGACTGACCCGTCAGAGCCGCTTTGGGACAGTAGCGCAGCAACGAAAGTTTCGACTCGGCCACGAAGAGCTCGCCCCCGATCCTTCATGTCCAGCTTGCCAGAGCCCAATTGATAGCCCTCTTGTTCTTCATCGCATCCTAAACCGACCCGGCACCATATCATTTTCATCGGAGACGTTCGAGCACCCTACCTTTTCCCAACACAACGCCTTCTCCTACCTGCCATGCAGCTCCGGCCGGGAGCCATGGTTTTTCGCCATGCCGTGGTTCGAAGGATCACGGCTCCGAGCTGCGCACAGAGTCGATGTCCCACAGTCAGTCTCGATAGTTGGAGAATACACAGATCGAGTATACACACGAGCCATAGACGAGATTCCGCATGGGCCGCGGCCGTGCAAGTTGCTTCCAACGTTGTTGGAAATGTCGTCAAAAAAGCAGCCAAGGACGGCATGACTATCGATCCATTGCGAACCGTCGCGAAGGAGATGCAATTCCTCACCGGCAACATTCGTAAGCTACTTGGCTCAGGGCACCCCTCCCTCGACCGGGTAGCCAAGTACTATACCCAAGCAGAGGGCAAGCATGTGCGCCCGCTCATTGTTCTGCTGATGAGCCGCGCGACATATCTTTGCCCCAAGAACCCACAACCTGAAACAGTACATAGCGCAAGAGCCATTGACTCGTCGATATCTCCTGTTACGATTCTTGCCGATGTAAACCCATCAGCCATGCCGCTGACTTCGAACGAACCCGAAATGAAAGATGGCAACCTAGATATTCTCCCCAGCCAGAGACGTCTGGCCGAAATTACCGAACTCATCCATACTGCATCTCTCCTCCACGACGATGTTATTGACCATTCAGTGTCAAGGCGTGGCTCCCCGTCAGCCAATTTAGAGTTTGGCAATAAGATGGCAGTTCTAGCTGGCGACTTTCTTCTCGGACGCGCTTCAGTTGCCCTCGCCAGATTAAGGCACGTCGAAGTGGTGGAGCTGTTGGCCACGGTAATTGCCAATCTCGTCGAGGGAGAGTTTATGCAGCTGAAGAACACGGAACGGGACGAGCGAAGCCCCAAATATTCCGAGGAGACCTTGAGCTATTATTTGCAAAAGACATATCTCAAGACAGCCAGCTTAATTTCCAAGTCATGCCGCGCGGCTGCCTTGCTTGGTAATGCAGACGCCACTACAGTTGACGCAGCCTATTCGTACGGCCGAAACTTGGGTCTTGCGTTCCAGCTTGTCGACGACATGCTCGACTATACTCGAAGCGGGAAGGATCTGGGGAAGCCCGCGGGCGCAGATCTGGAACTGGGCTTGGCAACGGCACCGTTGTTATTTGCATGGAAGCAGAACCCAGAACTAGGTGCTTTGGTCGGTCGCAAGTTTGAGCGCGAGGGTGACGTGGAGAAGGTAAACAGCATGAACATCTGCATGGTCTCTTTTCCTGAGATGATCTTGACTAACATATTCATCCTAGGCCCGCGACCTAGTTTTAAAGAGCGACGGCATTGAGCAAACCAGAGCGCTGGCGCAGGACTATTCTGAGAAGGCCATCGCAGCAATTGCGGACTTTCCCGAGAGCGAAGCCAAAGACGGCCTTATTGAGATGGCGCAGAAAACAATTAAGCGACAGAAATAAATACGCTGTAATACGTGTGACTGGGTATATGCAAAGGAATAAAAGGATAGAAGTAGACCCTTTTGTTATGTAGGATTACTGTACTTGGTATGGGGGATATAAACTCACAGGTAACTTTGGGCTGTCAAGCACAAAGCTTAGGGGGAAAATATACAGCAAGACAAGGCCCGAATGGAAGGTGTGGAGATGGAGATTAAACAATGGGTTTATGTTCATGATCCGGATGCATATAGAACGGCAAGGCAAGAGGGCGGTACTGTTCACTTTTGTTGTCTTGAACATGTTAGTGGGTAGGAATCGGCGAAAAGGCATGAATTGTCATAGACATATCCACTCTAATTTTTTGACGGCGTAGGAATTTTACAGGCAGTCAAGTTCTGTTTAACACTAGCTTGTGGTTGTTGGAATCTATGTTCGTCGTGTCGTTGTGAAGGTTACCGGCTGGTATTTTTTTCTCTCTCTGGACGGACTATTGTTCGTGAGGAAGTGCCAGCACAAAAAGAGGATTAAAATTTAAGAAAGGTAGCCGATCTAGAAATTCTCGTACACAATACAAATAATAGCGACATTGTTTTTCACAAGCTTTATTGTTCATCGGAATATAAGTGCATAATAGTGTTACCCTACATTGGGGAGATGTCTTGCGCAACACGATTAGGGATAGGAGTTAGGGTCTTGGGATGAGTAGGTTAAGCTAGAAAAGTGAAGCTAGTATCGCCAGATAAGTAGTGTGCGCTAGTATCATTTCATTTATATACTCCGTACAGCCTCAGTGATATAGTACTGTTGAATGATCAGTACAATGGATTCAATGTTGGCTTAAAACGCTGCACATGTAGTGGTGGGTTCATATGTTCTGTTAAAATGCCTTGCCCCAGGTCCTCAGCGTTGCTTCGGCACCCCGCTCCAACCTGGTGTTGAAAATGGCCCCCCACGCTGCGGGAGGGAGCACGTTCAACAATCTGAATTAAAATAATACCCGCGCGTGACAATGATGACGTATATTGTCAAACCTAGCAGATAGATAAATGAATCTTATCTCCACTTTCACGCAGATAATTAATCCTCGTGCTTGCACCTGCATTTTACCCGTTGCGACTTTGACGGCCTGTGCGACGACTCCATTATCATACGCGCTATTCCCGCACCTGTTAGTTCATTCGACATGTGAAAAAAAAAACCTAAGCTTAGACGAGGAGATGAAGGAGGCTGGTAATATGATGTATTAGACAGCTTATAAAGAGTTAGAATTTTTAGCATCCTCTCTACCCCGTATATAAACATGCCTACTTATAAAGGGTTAGGGTTACTTGCGGGTTCTCGTCTCCATTTTCACGTTAGGGTGAGTTTATTTGCTTCATGGAACCCGATAAGTCCCCATAAAAGTTATTCACAATGGCATTTAGAGGAGTGGGGGTACATGGTCGCTGTCCACTTGGAAAGGAAAACCCCTGATGCACGTGACGGCTAGCGTAGCACTTATCGACCCGGACCGTGATAGGCCGGCCATATCCGGGTTGCACAACATTTGAGGCTCTTCGCCCGCCACTTGCCCCACCAGGCTCGCGGAATTCATGGCAAATGGCAAGTGCAGTGCTTCACAATGAACTGAGACAACTCAAGCCTTTATTGTAGAAGACGTGCGGATAAGACCGGCTTGCGGGTATGAAGAACTTAGGGGTACTCATACATCGATTTATTCGTATTAAATGTGCTTGTGACACTGGATGAGAGGATTTTCATTAAAATGTTGCATGGCTGTTGTTTCCCAAACGGCCATGTCTCGTGCCGCACCTTCCTCTCCTGACTCGGAGTCCTGACCGGCGCCGGCCGATGAATAATAGCCGCAGAGGCTATCTTAGCCCAAACCGCCCGAGGACCAGACCACCTCACCCTTCTCCCCTTCATTTATATCCTCATCCGCTTTCGTCGTCCGACTGCTCATATCCCAGTGTCTCTCGGCTCATCCACTGCCTTGCTGCGCAGATTTACAGCCACTTTCCAGTCTCTTAGTTGGCCGAAGTTCGAACCCCCACCATGACGGTTGGCAAGTCGCAGGCCCCCTTCACTGTCATCGTGTCAAGCCGAGCCGTCATCCCCCAGGCTGATGGCTCGCTGACTGTCTCACCGGCGACTATTTGCATTTCACTAGCTACAGGGAAGATCGTGTCCGTAACACCAGAAATCATCCCCCAGACAAGTTTCCCCACGGACACGGCATATGTGGACCACTCGCCCATGCTGTTACTTCCCGGCCTGGTGGATGCCCATGTGCATCTAAATGAGCCAGGCCGTACGGAATGGGAAGGCTTTTGGACCGGTACCCGGGCCGCAGCCAGCGGTGGCGTGACAACCGTGGTTGACATGCCCTTGAATGCTATCCCTCCCACAACTACGGTTGCGGGATTCAAGGAGAAGCTTGCGGCTGCCCATGGCCAGCTGTGGGTTGATGTAGGCTTCTATGGAGGCGTGATTCCTGGAAATGCCCATGAGTTGAAGCCTCTTGTTGAAATGGGTATAAGAGGCTTCAAGGGGTTTTTGATTGAATCTGGCGTAAGTTTGTTCTCAAGTTGAAGGAAACCTCAAAGTACTAACTGTGGTGAACCAGGTGGATGAGTTCCCGGCTATTACCCCCAAGGATATGGCTCTGGCAATGGAAACACTCAAGGATAGCGCTACAACTCTCATGTTCCATGCAGAAATGGAGCCATGCGCTGGCCATACCAACGGCAGTACAAATGGTCATGCCAATGGCGACACCAATGGCGGCACCAATGGACATACGAATGGACATACGAATGGGCACACCAATGGACACACCAATGGTCATGCATCACCAAGTGATGTCACGACCTATCAGACTTTCCTTGACTCCAGACCTCCGACCTTTGAAACCACTGCAGTCCAGGAGATTCTGTCTGCGGCACATATTGCACCTTCCTTACACTTACACATTGTCCATCTCTCAGCCACCCAGTGCATCCCCCTCCTCAAGGCAGCTCGGGCAAACGGCGTCAACATTACCGCAGAAACCTGCTTTCACTACCTAGGACTTTCATCAGAGGAAATTGCAAACGGAGACACAAGACACAAATGCTGTCCGCCTATCCGAGAGGGCCGAAACCGCGATGGCCTGTGGGAGGAACTTGTCGCCAAAGACTCGTGCATCAAGACTGTCGTCTCGGACCACTCTCCTTGCACGCCGGAACTCAAACTGCTTCCAACACAACTTTGGTCGGCTACGGAGCCATACCCAGTGCAAAAGAAGGACAAGGAAGCTGGTGATTTCATGGCCGCATGGGGTGGAATTTCGTCTGTTGGTCTCGGCTTGCCAATCATCCACTCAACCGCCAAGCAGCGCAGCAAGACTTCCAAAGCCCCGGCCATCACTGACATTGTTCGACTCTGCTGCCAAGCCACAGCTGAACAAGTTGGTCTCTCACACCGCAAGGGCTCAATAAAGGTTGGCATGGACGCAGATATTTGTGTCTTTGACGATGCTGAAGTGTGGACGTTTTCACAGGGTGACATGCGCTGGAAGAACAGGTGTTCGCCATGGGAGGGGCACGAGTTTACGGGTAGAGTGAAGGAGACCTGGCTGCGAGGACGAAAGATTTTTGAATTGGGTGCGCCGCATGGTGGGTTTGTAGAAATCAAGCCTGCCGGACAGAGCATCACCGAGCGACGGACGGTGTGATGCACCTGCGTAGAATATGGCCGAAAAAAAATACAGTTGGGATGTCAAGGAATGAGACCAAGATATGAATAATCTAGACATGCAGCGAGATCAATCCAGATATATAGTTTTCATCAGAGCAATTTTCTGCACTGGTATGCTGAGTGGTTGAATGAAACACGCACGCCGTTGGTCGGCGCAAAAAGTCTACCAAGGTACTAGGTAGGTACCCTAAAGGATTACAAGTACTCGTAGGCAGCTAATAAGAACTATAAGATTTTTTAATGTATAAATAAAATATGTACAATTGTAAAATATTAAAAATTCTGTTTCAGAAAGTATATATTATAATTGTAACAAAAATTTTATCTAGTCTAGAGTAAAAGAGAACCCAAATCTACACGACAACTTAAGTTGCGGGTTATCTTCAATGTTAGGACCCAGTTGCCAGTTAGCACCGTTGGCTAGCAACTGGTCGTCCGTACGCTGCAACTATGCCCGTGGGGTAAATTGGGTTGGTTTGAACGTTACCTCAACTTACCCATAGCCGGGTGCCCACGGGTCTTTTACACCAGACACCACACGCAACCGATCATGGGAAGCATAGAAAACACCAAACTGGATCCAGCATGCTAGCATATAAATAAAAATAAGCCTAATCGGAATATCTGCGGTCATAGATTAGCTGGGAGATCGTCAGACTGAAGTCAACTTCAATCCTACGGATGCCTATCTGAAGGTCGTGTGTTCGAGTCACACTGACCGCATGAAGGTCGTGTGTTCATGCCTATCTGAAGGTCGTGTGTTCGAGTCACACTGACCGCACTTTTTTTTTTTTTGCATTCTCCCTATTTTTCTTTTACTGTCGGCCCCCCTTGGCTTAACTTCCTGGCGCATTACTCAGTCTTTTTTTTTTGAACTGTTTTATTTATCTTCCAGAAAAAGGGGTGAAATAGACGCCGTCCTCTATTTAGGTCGGTCCGAGGCAGTTCTTCGCTTTCAAACCGTTCACGAGAATCCGGACTTGAGCAAATGGCCGGGATTCCGCTTGACAATGTATTCACCCGTGGTCTTGCATTATTTTTCTACCCAAATGGAGTCTCCATGGTCTGATATTGATGATTTAAAAAGGGTGTTTATTCGGCCTATTCTCGCAGCCTCCCGGGTGTACGTTGCAAGACTCGTTCAATGATGGCCTCAATCTAGGAAGGATTAGTACAGCACATCTATCGAGAGAGAAATGTAATAGAATACTGGCTCTAAAAAGTATCTTGAGTAACTCTGAAAGGAGAACCAGGGAGTATGACGTTTAAGAGAATGAAATGGCTAGAGGTGGGCGACCCTTTATGATTGGCATCAGCAACCACGACATTGATTAGATGGCAAAGATTCGTTCATTTCTTTAACGACCCTTAAAACGATTAAGATACATGGAGACCGATCCTGTTTCCCCATAATCTATCGGCAAGAACTGGCTTGAACTGACGGAGCATGATTCCTGCAGGACCGAAGCTTGTTGCTCTGCATCTCTAGCTGTGATGGAGGGTCGCCAAGAATGGTATACTTGACAACATTTGAAGTATTATTAAAAATCACATGTTTTGGCAGGTAGATTCCCTCGGTATGAGAGTCAACTGCGGTTGGATCTGTCCAACATTTCGACAGTATCAAGGCTGGTAGAGGAGGGAACTACGATTCTAGACTGGGTAGTTGCTGGCCACTGGTTCAAGTCGAATAACTTGACGTGAAGATATAAGCTTGACAGTAGCTGGAGACATGGAGCCGTCAATCGATGAGCTTTGATGAAGGCGCCCAATTGCAGCAAAGCAAGCATACTCTATGAACTTTGACTCCGTTCCCAATTTCTCCCAGACTCTCGTGTTGATATGCTCTCGAATTAGCCGATTCAAGTAACCACATGCACCGACCTGTACTGAACCCAACTAAGTGTGAAAAGTCTAGGAAGCACTTGACACCAAGCGTGATGGAAGGATAAAAGACACCAGAACAAAGTCGATAGCTCACGTCCCCCAATCGCCGTGCACCAACATTGAACCTACTCGCTCAATACACCACCCGAACACGCCCCCCCATAGAGCGAAAGTACCAGTCAAAATGACAAAAAGTGCCAAGCCCCCTCATCATATGAGCACAAGTGCCGGCTATTTTCTGATCCCAGCCATTGATGATCGACATTACCCATGCCGCACACGCAGACTCGCCCTCCCACCCAAACCCAACACGAGAAGAAGCACGCAGCAGAGCATGCTACATGGTTGACAGCATCCAGCCGTCGCCGTCAAGCCTCCTTAGATGTAGCCACGTGAAGCCGATCCCCCATGCATCTGAACCGAAGCGACATTCCACATGACCCCAGGCACCAGGGACATCAGACTCTTCGCGCCTGTCCAGCACCTATTCACACCTGTTTTTCTCGCCGCACACACGGCACAAACAAGCTGCGCGTCCTGTCAACACTTCCAATGGAGGCCGCCGCTGCGCCCCAGGCGTCCATGTCGGAAGCGAGAACTCGCAATGACACGGCGGACACGGTTACATGATTGCCTCGCGCGCTGCACTGTGTCGTCGTGCCGAGTCCCCAGCCGTCTTACGTTTTGTGCCGCCAGCGACGCAAGCGAGCACTTGGTCCAGTCCAGGTGGCTGCGCCGTGTCGTAGCTGTGCCCTGTTGTGCGAGTTCGGATAGTGATGCATGCCAGAAAAAATTTACTCTGGCCTATTTCCAACCTGCCCTCATCACATGTCGCTTCTCCCGCCTCTGGCTACACAGATGGAATGAGAATGACTGTGCAGTGTGCACCTATGTCGAGTTGCAGAAACTGGTTTTGAGAAATGCCGTCATAAGCAGAGCACTTCTTCGACACAAGTCGGAATCCCATCCACCGGCTCGTCTGGAATACACGTCATTTCGGACACATGCACAACAAACACACCCAGGCAGGTGTGAATTGCAAAGTTCAATCGGCTAGTATTCGACCATCCTCTAATCTCTAGCTAACGAGTGTGATAGTCAACACGGAGCAAGTCAAATCCTGTCAACACCTGTGGTGGGTAGTGCTGCGCAAGCAAATACAATTCGCTTCCATGACCTTCAACAAACTTGCTCCCCTTCCTCCAAAATATAATAGAGCATCTCATCTTGGACGCGCCTGCTAATCTCCCAATGTACAACTAGCGAGCAAATCTTGCTACGCCTCACAGCCAACAATTGGTGCTCAAGATGCATGATTGAAGAAGCTGCGACGACCACTGCTTGACTTGCGGGAAAGCCCAAACTCCAAGTGCCATGATTCCTTGACCACAAAAGCACACGCAACGCGTCTTCTCGAGAAGACTTATCGTAAAATACGTCACGAACCATCAGGTTCATATAAGTCGTTAAAAACACAATTCGTTCATGGAATAAAAAAAAGAAGAAGGAAACAACGGCAAGTAAAGACAAGCAGGCATGTAAAGTAGAAAAGCCTACTAGTAATCTGCATGCCCCAAGCCAAAACCACATTAAATGTGAAAGTATGGTCAAGTTTGTTGAGTTTCTCTCAAATAAAAAATGCGAAAAAAAAAGTTGCCGCAGATAACCAAACGCCATTTCATGTAGAGTATACAAACTCGCGGGCGGGCCTTCCGTAGGTACTGTATGAAACGTCTTCATACCCGTAGGCCTTGGTTGTCTTGACCTTTGGGAAGTTGGCGCCACCTGAGTTGCTGTAACTGGTTTCGCGACCCGGCATTGAAGGTCGGCTATCCTGAGGGTGATAATAGCTGGCGTACGACTCTCTAATGTCTGGCTCGACCAGACGAGTGTTGTACGCACCGTCGAGTGTGTTGCGCTCGACTCGGTATCGAGACACATTCTCTGTTCTCATTGGGTCTGGGGAGTGATGTCGTCTTCTGCTTCGATGTTTTCTATCTCGGCGCCTGTCGTAGCGGTCCTCATCATCCATTTCTAATTCGACCTGAGATTGCATGCGTGATCGATCGCGGCCACGTGGGTGATCGGCAGATTCAAACATGTGGAATGTTTGAGATCTTTGAATCTCCGGGGGTGATCGAGAGTATGACACTGATTCGTGCGGCATCGTCTTTGTTCGAGGAAGACGATCGCCCCTCGGTGGAGAGCTAGGCGTGAAGAATGCAGCGGTATGGCGGGCGGATGGGGAAACGTTGATGATGGGAGGATCGTCCATCGCATCTCGGGATGGGGTACGATACGATCGTTCTCGGGAGAGCCTAGGATCATCCCCAGATCCCCGGCGCGGCCTTGCTGATGACCGGCGTGCATCGTCGTCATCGGGAGGAGCAAAAGGCCCAGATTGCCCGTGGATAGGCGGAGGTGTCGGCGCCGGTGGCTGGACTGACCGGATATAATGGGTAGTGGCTGCCCGTTTCAGGCCCGGTGTGCTCTTGGCCTTGGACGCTTTAATATACGAGTGCGCATATTCCTCCTTGGCCGTCCAAGATCGCTGAGGTCTCGGGGGGTGGGCGTCTCTTTGGATGTCATCTCTGCCCGATGAACGATCTCGCTTCTCGTCGTAATTCCTGCTACCGCTAGACTTCTTCTTGTCGGACCTGACAACTGTCGGTTCTTCGTCGAATGGTTCAATGTAGGGTTTTGCGTGTCGCTTCTTCTCCTCGGACTGTCGTTTCATGTCCTTGGCATTTTGCTTCTCTCGTGCTCTTTTCTCAGCCCGTCGAGCTTCTTTAGCCTCCTTCTCAGCTCGTTTAAGAGCGTCTTCTTGCTGTCGTCGACGCTCTCGGTCTCTTTGCTCCTTTTCCCTTTCACGCTCTCTATCTGATCGTCGTTCTGACGCCTTCTCATAGCTGGCTTCACGACGAGACGACCGAGGAGAAGCCTCAAAAATGCGAGGGCCACGACCCAAATCTTCATCTGAGAGGCCGTTATATGAATATTTGACACCTGATGGGCTCACACTGGCCTTGAACGGTGAAGCCCTTGATTCGGTACCGCGGGCCTCATCTGGGCCGGAATATCTCGTCGATC